GGCTGACGACCAGGCTACGCAGCGGTCGTCACAGGGTTACACCTTCAGCCTTGGTTCCGGCTCTGTTTCGTGGCGGGCTACCCGCTCGTCTTCTGTTCTCGGCTCCAGTTGTGAGGCTGAGATCTACGCTGGGGCTATGGCTGCACAGGAGTTACGCTGGCTCACCTACCTGCTGACCGACCTTGGAGAGCAGCCTCGTTCTCCTCCAGTCCTGTACGTAGACAACAAGGCCATGCTGGCCTTGTGTCGAGAGCAGCGACTGGAGCACAGAACGAAGCACATTGCCCTCCGCTACTTTCTTGCTCGTGAGCTGCAGCAGCGTGGACAGTTGCGGCTTGCGTACGTGGCCTCTGAGGCCAACACTGCTGATGTCTTTACTAAGGCACTTGCGCCTTGTGATCATCAGCGTTGTTGCACGCAGTTGGGTCTTGTGTCTGTCTTGCCTCACTTGCTCACTTCTTGACCTTGCTTGTACCTTCACCTATATATACTCTTGCTCTTACTTGCTTGACTCTTGTATATCTTTATATATGATCTTGCATGTGAACTGGCCTTCTGGCCTTTTTTTGAACTTGTGCTCGGAATGTGTGGTGACTTTGTGATCCACCCTGAGCTTTGCTTTGCTTTGCTTGACTGGTCTTGTGACCCCTTGTTCTCCCCCACTTTGCCTATGGGGGTGTGTCAGAACATTATAGTTTACTTATTTATGTAGGCTATAGTGGGGTATCCCATAGGGGGTACAACCCAGTTAGGGTTTCCTATTTGTACTCACTTCGTTCATAGTTCACTCATTCTCTCGTTCACTTCTTCTCAGTGTGGGCTGCCTGCGATATCCAGTCCCGAACGTCATGCTGCTTTTGCAAGCAGCCCAGGCCGTTGACATTCAGGACGCTGAAGGTGAGTGTGGTGTGTTTACCCATTCGTAACATGTGATAGGCCCCTTAACATCCAAGGGCCGGTGATGATGATGACGATGTAAGTGCATTGCTCTGCGAAATTACTCCAGGCAGGTACAGACACAACTCCATCTCCTATTCCGCTACTCCATGCTACACAGATAAGCCGCCTAACTCCATGCATCCGAATCACTTCGCTTTTGCTGCCTCCGCCCGAATCCCATACAGCTTCTTCGCAGCCTGCAGTCTCTGCTTCGCCTTGCTCGCACGAGTCGCAACGCCAGCTGCACCCAGCGCCGCACCATGACCAAAGGAGCCGATGTGAGCAGCAGCTTGCGCAAAGGTCTCCCCCTGTGCGCGGACGCATCACTCCTGGACACATAACCACTCCTCCATCTTGGGTCCCGTTGAGATCAGGACCAGAGCCGGGTCCCGGAGAATCCTCTTCACTACTCCTGCCAACGAGAGGGAGGCCGATGCACGATGGGCCCATCACATCGTCATTAGTGGACGGGAATAGCAAGAGTGAACGGCTGGAAACCCCTGGTCAGAATCCCCCCCCATTACCGTTGATACCATGGACCCTGCCTAACGACAAGTTCCACTTGGCGATGCTGTTGCGACGCTCACGCACGCATTCATTGTGCAACTTATTCATATGCTGACCCTGGCAGTAGCAGCAGGATAGCGACGGAAAGTGCACCAGGAATGACGCATCAGTGAGCGGATCCTCCACCAGATGACGCCAACGGTATTTGTCGCCAGGATGCGGAAGCACCAGACCCCGGATTTTGTCCGTGTCCAGGCCAGAAACCGGGTCGACCACGCGGTGGAAACCTGCACCTTGCAGGAACGCCGAACGGCCACGCTTCTGCAGCTTCGCGACCACCAATGACTCGTAAACAATAAGAGGTGTAATCTCCGCAGGAACCCCTTGAGTAAGACTTCCACCCCTTCCGGCAGGTCACTCTTCGCCTTCAGGAACGAGCGGTTGACAGTATGCTGCCAGCCGAAATGGTGCTTGTCGTGCAGTTATAATGCAACTACGAGCGAAGACGATCAATCTTGACTGTCACTCGTGGCGCGAAATTCCACACTGGGCCAACCAATCTCACGATCGATGTATGCACTTCGCTATATCGATCGGGGCTCCCGTTGGTGACAGGGTCGTGGGCACAATTTTACTGTACATTCGTCAATGCTGGCGAAATTTTGTTACCTTATTGATTACGACGCTACAGTGCTACACCCCGGGCGCAAAACCGATCTTCCAGCCGATCGATCCGCTTCAGGTGACGCGTCCTTAGGATACGTTGAAAGTGCAAATATCGCAGGATCGTCTGCATATATCGATCCCCACAATCGAGTGGGCAGATCGTTTGGCGAAACTGTCAGAATGTTATTATCTAGCCTGTAGTGGGGTGCTCTATAGCGAGTACAACCCTGTTAGGGTTTGCTATATGTATCCCAACTGCTGCTAGTGAAACCCCTCCTTTGTTCATTTCTCTCTTGCCTAGCTAGCTAAACCCCAGCTATGGCTCTTCACTATACTCACTATTCTCACATGCTATCAGAGCATCTACGCTCCTGGCCTGTGGGCCCACCTAACTGCTTCCGCTGCTACTCTGTGTGTTGCACGCCCCGTGGCGTGCGATGGATTTTTCTTCCCGCCGCGCGCTCGGAGCGTGCGGCGGTTTTCTGCCCGCCGTGCGCCCCGAGGCGCGCGGCTGTTTTCTGCCCGCCGTGCGCCCCGGGGCGTGCGGCGGTTCTCTGCCCGCCGTGCGCCCCGAGGCGCGCGGCGGCCTTCTGCCCTGCCGGTCCGCGCGTCGCCCCCGGGGGGCGCTTCGACGAGCGACGGGGACCAGCCCGTCGTCCCCCGTCGCCCGTTCCGGCCAGCGCGGGTTGCGCTAGCCCCGAGCGCGGCCCGTACGGGCTGCGCCAGGCCCGCGCGCGGCCCGTACGGGCTGCGCCAGGCCCGCGCGCGGCTCGAGCCGCCTGCGCGCGGCTCGTCTGGCTGTGCCAGGCCCGTGGACGGCCCGTTCCTCTTTGCCTCTGAGCTGCCCGCTGTCCCCCGTGCTTCTGATGGCGCCCCACCCCTGCTGCTGCCCGTTCTCCTGAATTAGGGTTTGGGGGTGGGGGTGTGGGGGTGCAGTTTCTGTGCGCCGTTCCCTGCTCCTCCTCCTCCTCCTCCGACTCCCGCAGCTGCAGCTACCGCTCAGGGGGGTGGGTGTGTGGGAGCCGAAGGAGTGGTGCTAGGGGGGTGACGTGGGAGTGGAATTCGGGGTTCAGCAGGGGGTATGTGTCAAGGGCGTGGGTCAGTTGGAGGAGGTTGTGTGGAGATAGCTGTCGTGTCGCCTGCAGCGCCTGTAGTCCGTCGCCCTTGCTTCGGTAGCCAGTGAGCTTGTTGCACCAGTCGCCAGTGGGTCCGTTGCTCCTGCCGCTCGTCTTAGCCGCGGAGCCAGTCACTCCAGTAGTCCGTCGCCCTTGCTTCGGTAGCCACTAAGTCAGCCGCTCCTGTGTCCGTGCCTCTGCAGCTTCAGTCGTTGCCTCCCATCTTCTCTCCTTCCACAGTTCCTCCTCCTCCTCACTTGCCCGCTGTGTTTACCTCTAGCTTTGCTTGCAATTGTGAACCTGCTCTATGACTGCGTGCTCTGCAAATTACACCTCACTTTGGCTATGGGGGTGTATCAGAATGTTATTATCTAGCCTGTAGTGGGGTGCTCTATAGCGAGTACAACCCTGTTAGGGTTTGCTATATGTATCCCAACTGCTGCTAGTGAAACCCCTCCTTTGTTCATTTCTCTCTTGCCTAGCTAGCTAAACCCTAGCTATGGCTCTTCACTATACTCACTATTCTCACAGAAACATGGCGACCGCGACGCTGTAACGATCGCGGCTGAAAATTGACAGATTTCCCGCGAACAGTGATTAGTCGCATTCTCACACTGTATAGAAATTTTGGCCAAAAAGCGTACTGTAACATGGTTACATTGTAGTTAATAGGGTAACCGATCCGCCTATCGATCGCTACTGACGATCGATCGTCTACTTTCACCGCGTCCTACTCTGCTTTTGACAGGTCATTGCAAGTCCATCTTTTTGTGGTACGGGCAATGCGTTCCTTCCGCAAGCGACGACCATCCTCTTTGACGACGAATTAGCGACACCTCATAGCGAGTAAATTCGCATCGCTGGTTTCGACCTTGCAACTTGTCCTGCCGTGGCGGGATGACAGTCAACCGGAACCTTTCTGGGCATTATACCTGCCCAACAACAAACTTCTTTTGCTTGCTCTCGTCCCGCTCAAACCGAACCTAGCACCGTGGCAGACAACTGGCCAATCAGAACCATGATACGAACCCTCTAAACGTTCGGCTCCGGCTCGGTACAAGAGTTCTTGTCGTCAGGTTCGCCCCCTCCCTTCATCCAATTCGCTTAGGGCAGTTTGGTGTGGTTTGCCTACCAATACTGTGAGCGGATTCGCACTCAGTATCATTTACTATCAGGCAGAACCGAACAATATCGTGCATCCGTGCATCAACCCTTGATCAAACGGGATGGACCGTCATCATCCAGGGCGCGGATGGAGGGACTGGTGCGAACGGCTCGTACCCGCGCTCACCAGACTGCATCTCATTTGATCACACCGCACCGTACTCAAACTCTCTTGGAGGCCGAACAAAACGGCTCGTTCGACCTTGAAAGTACAGCTGGCCGTTCGGAGGAGCAGAAACCAAGCGTGAAATAGGCAGCCGAGTTTCTGCCAGCTATCTTCTTTGAAACCCTAGGTTTGTGTACCTACTAGAATGCTCCTTTGATCGGTTTGGCAGTAAGAGCGGTTTGAACCAGTAAACAGTCTGCTTCTTTCAATCAGTTTCCTATTGGAACGGTTTGCTGGAGATCAGTTTGTTACTAGGAGGAACGTCCTCTTCCCTGCTTGACCTCCTAGGTTCGTAATTGCAAGAACTGCTAGCGAGCGACGGTTGTCGCTTGCGATCGGAACGATTTTCCTAGTTGCTTTTTTGTAGCAGAAATGCTCTTGAGGCTGGGTCATTGCTGAACCACGCAACTGTTAAATAGGGTAGTTTTTTTCAGCCCGAAGTCATGCAATTTCAAGAAGACTCCCCGTCGCCAAGCAACAACAGCTTGCTCCCGAGCGATTACCTAAACGCTCCCATTTTCGCCTCGCGCTATCATGACGATTCGGCTGACGAGGACAACGACGATAACGACGACAATGACGTCAATCGTGACGTCAACGGCAGAGAAATCGCTCGTGAGCGCCGAAGCGCGGCCGATCTGGCTCGCGCGATTAACGGCGTGCGACAGCATTGGAGCCCTACTGAAACCATGCAGCTGGTTTACGCGTTCGTGGAGCTCGACCGCGAAAATGACGGCATGCGCATCATCCATGGCTCCAACTACTACCGCGAATTAATCGCCTTGCTGCTTCGGAAGTTCCCCGAGTTCCGGCACTCACAGCCGGCCGTCAAGTCGAAGCTCATCCGCATGAAGAATAAATACTACCGGCTGCAGAACCGGCTGGACCGGTCAGCCGTCTCTTCGAAGGAGCAGCTGCCGGAGTGGTATGTGTTGATGGATTCGGTCATGGAGCGGGACGAGTTTCACCTGCGGTCGGCCAGGGGGGAGATTCGGCCGCGTCGCGGTCGGCCACCGAAATCGCGAGGTACGTTGAAATTACTCTTGAGCATTCTCAAAATGGATTTGGTGATGGAACATTAAGAGTTTCACTTGCGTTCGCCGAGGGGGGAAATTTGGCCAAATGGAGGAGGTCGCGGTCGACCGCCGAAATCGCGAGGAGCGAGCGCGAGCTTCGTGTGCGTGCCGTTCTAGGAATTACAACGCTAGCCGTTCGAACCTAGGAGGGCGTTTTCTCTCTCTCTCTCTCTCTCTCTCTCTCTCTCTCTCTCTCTCTCTCTCTCTCTCTCTCTCTCTCTCTCTCTCTCTCTCTCTCTCTCTGTGTCTCTCTCTCTATACCGCGCCTGTATTATGCTATGCCATGGAATAAACGTTATCCTGTCCCTTCTCTATGTTTCCCATGCGTTTGCTCGATTACAGGCCGTCCTGCAGCAGCATCAGCAGTACCGAAGCGAGAGAGAGGACGAGGCGATTCAAGTGAAGACGACTTGAACCCACTCGACGGTTCTCTCGACGACGCTGAAGCGTATTCGTTTCCAGCTCTCCCAACCCTGCCCACTGCAGCAAACGCGAGAACACTGCAGTATCCTTCCCCAGCTCTCCCAACCCTGCCCACTGCAGCAGTTACAAAAGCACAGCAGTATGTCTCTCCCCCTCCCCGATCTGCCCGAGAGGTTTCTGCACTGTACACCCCGACTGCAGCTGCTACGTTGCCACTTAATGCCGGAGCAGCATCAGCACCTGGGGCGACTGGGGCGTCATCAACTGTTGGGCAAGCTGTTGCTGCAGCGACTGCTGCTGGGGCATTGGCATTGGCAGTGCTCGGCGCAAGCAATCCATTGCGTGGTGTTGCTCCAATAGCAGCGTCGGTACCTCCTCTGTCTACCACTTCTGCAGCAGCTGGAGGGGGAGCAGCAGGAACAGCAGCAGGGGCAGGAACAGCAGCAGGGACAGGATCAGGAACAGCAGCAGCAATATCAGCAGGCCCAGCAACAGCAACAGGAACAGGAACAGGAGCAGCACCTGGAACAGCAGCTGCAGGAGCCAACGATTCAGGCAGAAGCTACCTGCAATCACTCCTTGCCACCACAATCCCACTGTCTCCCCGGGCCAAAAGGTCGATTCCTCCCCCTTCTGCTCCAACTGAGAGGCTGACGCCCCCCCATGCTGCTCAAGACGATAGGCTGACGTCACCTGCTTCGGCCGGAGGTGATAAGCTGACGTCACCAGCTTCTGCTGAGGATGATAGGCTGGCTTCCCCGCCTTCTCCTCGAGATGGCATGCAAATGTCTCCCCCCATTACCAGAGGGGGGAGGAGAATGGCAGCAGGGTTGGGACCCACGGGGTGGAGGAGGGGCAGGTGGGGATCAGGGTGGCGAGAGAGAGAGGGGTTTGCAGTCAATCCCGGGGTGCGTTCACACTTGAGTGCACGTCGCACGGCCGGCAGGACAGGCCTGATGGCTGCTGAAGGGCTGGGTGATGTGATGGATGAGGCGGTTGAGAATGCGTTTGCGGATTTCGAGGGGCTTACTCAGGAGTGGGTGGAGAGAGCGTGTGGTGAGTTTGAGGGGATGGTGGCTGATATGGCAGAGAGGGCGTGCTTGCAGTTCAGGAGTGCTGCGAGGGAGTTTTCTGAGTCGTGGAAAGCCGGGCAGGACTACAAGCGGCGGAGGAGGTTTTGATGGGGGTGTGGTAAAGGTTGTCCTCCGTTTTTTGCTCCACAAGTGGCTATTTTTTTTAATGATGCCAGGTTTAGTTAGATGGTCACTTGTGTTTTGCTCCACATGTGGTCAGTTGCATGTTTCAGCCATGTGCAGCCTTCAGCTCCTACCACAGAACTTTTCACCAATTCAATAGTGTCCCACAAGTACAGAGACAATCTCATTTGTCAACCACCATACAATATCTACAATAAGAAACGTTTCGGATAGCCACATGGTAATTTTAATCAGAGACAACCAGATTTACCTCCTACGCCTCTTGACATCTTGGCTAGCCCCAAAGTTAGCTGCCAGTTCTCTGGCAACATCTTCAAACTGAGCAGCTGCATTTTCGGCCAATCTAGCTGAAAGCTCCTCAAACTGAGAGCACGAATTCTCCAGCAGCTCTCGGGTTAGCTCCTCAAACTGAAAGCATGCGTTTCTCACCGCAGAGCCCATTGCAGCTGCAAACTTTTCAGCCATAGCCGCAGCAATGGATGCTTCAGGCCCTGACAGCATCCCTGCTCCTCTTGCTGCTGCTCCCCGCTTCTTCCTTCCCTCACCAAACCCACCGGTTCCCATCCTCAGCCTGCCAGTCTCCCGAGTAGGAACAGGAGTAATGGAGTTACGAAGAGAAAGCAAATAACTGCCCGATCCGCCGCCACCTGCGAACGGAGAAATTGTTGCTGGTGGTGGAGTTGGAGCTGAAATCGGTGGTTCTGGTGTTGAAACAATATTTTGAAACAGGCTGTTTCTTGCAAGTCCGCTTTGGCCTGCTGTGTCGGGCCACGTCGGCGTGACTGGAAACGCATATGCAGGCGTCTCGGCGGAAAGAAGCTTCCTCTCTTGGCCGGCATTCGTGAGCAGGGCTGCCATACGACCTGAACACAGGAATCGCAGACACCTCTATTAGTCCGCTACCATTGAGGGTGTGTCTATTCACACGGTAAATCAGCTCGAGACAGCTCAACAACACCGTATCTTCACACCAACAAAAAAAGCACACATAAATATCAAAACGCTAAGATATGGCGGCGTTTCGAGCAGGATCGTACCCTTACCTGAGTTAGTCGACGGGTGCGTTATCCGAGAACCTTGCTGGTTCGCCGCCGTCGCAGTCTGCCGACTACTGGACTCCCGAGCCATGACAGTATCCAGCAAGACAAACCATTCCGGTAGATTCCGGGGAGCAGCAGACGCGGACCGCTCGATCCGGTCTCGAAGCTGCAAGTACTGTCCTTTCAGGCGGAACAGCTTTGTCTTGACGGAACCCTCCGTGTGACGGAAATCGGGGAATTTCGCCCGCAGAATGCGGTACAATTCGCCGTAGTAGTTTGAGCCTTGAACTCCCCGCATGATGTGGTATTCCGGGTCCAGCTCCACGTGGGCTTTAACGAGTTCGATGACCTCGTCCTCTCTCCAATGTCCGCGATTAGCGTTAGCTGCCGTGTCGGCATTAAGTCCGCCATCGTCTCCAGCTGTTCCGACGGAGTCGCCTCGAGGAGTGCTGGACGGGGCGGCTTCGGTGGCTTCAATAGCCGTTGAGGCTTCAATAATAGCGGTTTTGTTTTCGATAGCCGCTGAAGCTTCAATAATAGCTGTGCCTTCAGCGGGAGCTGTGTTTTCAATGTCACCCGTGTCAATATTTTCTGCGCTTTGATTATGTTCAACCGCGGCAATCAGGGCTTGTTGCAACGGAGGTGGTGGTGCTGCTGGGGCTTCAGGGCTGGGAGTGTTGGACTCTGACTGCGGTTCCATGGCTAAGTTGCGAACTGATAAACTCTAAGAAGCAGTCAGTGTCACTAAAAAAAAATCTGCTGAAGGTCTGTGTCGCCTAAAAGTGCGACCCTGAAATGGGAAGTAGCGTTTCCAGTCACAAGAGCTGAGAACTAAAGCTCTCCACTGCAGGCTGGGGTTTCAACAGGGGAGTGTGAGGGGTTTCAAGAAACAGGGTGACACACTGAACTGTTATGTGAAGAGAAGCTCTCCACTGCATTCAGGGGTTTCAGATAGCAGCGTGACACTGAACTGTTATGTGAAGCGAAGGTCGGAAACAGGGGGGAGAGAGAAAGAACGAGGGTTTCAAATGCTGAGCAAGGGAGGGTTCAAAAACTGTCTCGAGGGCAGTCCTCGTTGCAAGGAAGAGCGGAGAGCAGCTTTCCTCTCAAAATGTCTCAACGGACAAACAACCCCACGCCTGACCGGGGCAGAACAAAACTTAAACCCATAGGGAATGGCATGGAACCATGGCCGTTTTGGTTGAGTGTGAGCGCTAGGTTGAGAATTCGAAAGGACTAAAAACCTTGGTACCATCCCTGGTCTGGCTTCACTATCGATACCGGGAACTGGTATTACGTTCAATGGTTTAGACCGCTCTGAAACTAGCTGCACCTTACGGTCAACTGTAGATGAGAAGTGAAGTGACTTCCAAGTCTAGCAGTAGCGGTCATGCATCTGGGGACATTGTACGGTGCACCCCCTGACATCCGCACCTCACGCCCCACCTGACGTTACCCGTTCTCCCAAGTAGCGCCCAGATGGAACTTCGTTCCGAGGGCAGACGGAAGTTCAATTGTGGGAAAGCTCGAAAACCATCAGGACCCGATTGGGTCACAGGTAGAAGGGTGCAGCCTAGAACTGCACAAGCGAACAAGACAACTAGCCAAAACGCCAGAGCAGAGCCTTCCAACACCTGAGATGCTGTAATTGGTTCGTCCAGATTACGTTTCACAGATGATGTTACAACTCAGAAGCAAGACGTTCAATTTCTTGGTTATTTGTCGACCAACCGTGCTACAAGCCTCCACAAGCCTGCATCCCCAAAACATTACTTTTATCAACCAATGACGTGTGTGAACTAGACATACCGGTACTATGGCAAGGGAGTGTTATTTATTGTGCTTGCTCCTGCACATAACACTTGCAGAATTCTGCTTCACGTGCATGATATTGTTACAGGTGCAATGAATCGAAGTAGCGAGAATTGCACTAAGGTGTCAAACGAGTACAAAATGTGAGCGAAGGCATGAGCGAACATTTATACGCGAAACATGCAAACGGTAACGCGGTGCGTCCGAGCTAGCTAGTGCTATGCTGGAAGTGAGGCTCGGACTAGTCCCGAAGCGTAGGCCGACACGGCCGATCCAGCAGAGCGATGTTTGGGAAAACAGTGCGCGCGAAGTCGGCGAAGCCCCGTTAGCAGTAACGAGCGAACAACGGCTGCTGCTGTACGCGATGTTGCAGGGTGCGTGTGCGAGAAAATTCCTTACACTACCCCCCCCCCCCCCCCCCCCCCCCCCCTCAAGAAGTCCCCTCCGCTACGCGAGTGCGTGTATATGGCGGAAACCCCAGCTCCTCAAGTACACTTGCAAGGCAGGGTGGTTTTCGATGTTGGCCAGGGGCACCCAGCTATCCTCAGTTGGCGTGCAATCCTTCCAGCAAACGAGGAATTCAATCCTCCTGATTCCCGTGGGGTGTCAAATCCGATGACTCATGACTTTTTCGGGCTCGATGATCGGCTCCAATGCAGGGCGAGTCATGGATGGCGGGCGGTGGCGAGGCAGTTGGCTTGTGGTTGGGATGTATGGGCGAAGCAAGCTGACGTGGAATGAAGGGCTGATGTACCAGTCCGTCGGCAACAGTACGTGAGCTGTTACTGGGGTAATCATGTGGCTGATTTGGAATGGTCCACAGTAGCGGGGTCGTAATTTCGGTACGACGGGCAGTCTTAAGTTTTGTGTGTCGAGCAGTACGTAATCTCCTGACTCCTACGTGACTTGGCGGCGGTGGCGGTCAACGTTGCGCTTAACGATGACGTTGGCTTTTTTAATTGCTTCTGCGGCTCTGGTGCGGGCAGCTTGCAGAATTTCGGCGAATTGCTGTGCACGTAGTGTTGGGTTGTCCGGACTCGGCGTCATGGGCACTTTATGGTTTTGCCCGTAGTTCAGGTAGAAAGGGGACTGTTGCGGCGTCGCTGACGTGGTGTTGTTATACGCGAACTCGATTAGCGGCAGCTGCTGCTCCTAAGTGGTCGGGTCGTCGCACGAGGCACGAATCAACCGCTCCATCATGTGATTCGTCCGCTCCGTTTGACCGTCGGTCTCAGGGTGGTATGACGAGCTGAACTGTATCCTTGTCCCGAACTCCCAGAGGTTCTTCCAGAAGTTGCTGGTGAACTTCGTGTCGCGGACGCTGATTATCGCGGCTCGTATCGCGCGAAGTCGCACGACGGCTGCGATGAACAGGCGAGCGGTTTCTTCGGCTGAGATCGATTTCTTGCACGCAGCGAAGTGTGCCATCTTCGTCAACCTGTTAACGACGACCATAACCACGTCGTTACCCCCAGGGTTTGAAGGTAACCCTGTGACAAAATCCATGGTAACTTGCTGCCAGGCGCGCCCAGGCGGTGGAATCGGCTGCAACTGACCCGCCTTTCTTTTTTGCGAGCTCTTCATCACCTGACACGTAGGACACGAGCTCACGTGGTGCTGAACGTCGGTCAACAGCTCCGGCCAGTAGTAATACCGCCGCAGTTGCTGTCGCGTATTTTCTACCCCAAAAAAGTCGCGAGAAAATCCCGTCGTGTGCCTACTACAGTAACAGTTCCCTCAGTAGTGAGTACGCGGGTACCCAGATGCGGTTGGTGCCTGTTTTCACGTAATAGACTCCTTTGGCCTCTGCCAGTTGCTGTGAATTTCCGGTCGTGAAAAATGAGTCGGTACTGTATCCGTGGGTGAATAGGCCTGTTAACAGTGGGTTGGTTTGGGCGAGTAGGATGGCGTGGAGGTGGGCGGTGAGGCGTGTGAGTGCGTCGGCGATGTTGGATGCGCCTTTTTTGTACGTGACTGTATAGTGGAAATTGGACTCTAGATAGTCCAACCAGCGGATCTGTCGTGGGTTGAGATTCGGCCGGGCGCGAAGGTACTGTAGTGATCGGTGATCTGTCCGTACTGTCACGTCTGCTCCCGTGAGGTAACATCGCC